GACTCGTCGAGTCACCCGAGTGACTATACAGTCGATTATAATGGGTCTTAACGCGTCAAAACCATAGATCTGGCCTCCTAGGGTCCATTTTATATGTAAAGCTTCAAGCTTGATGTACATGCATGAGGCCTTTGGCTCAAAAAGCCATAAAAGGAGGTCTACAAGATGCATGGGGTGTTTATGGCAACAAAGTTGGCACCTTTATGCCATAAAGACCCCCAATAGCCCCAGATCCGAAGTGCAACTCTAAGCATATCCACACAATCTGATTTTTTCTTCTCTATACTCATAAAAAGGGTAGAAATAGCCCCAAATCAAAATCTAAGAGATAAATGGTCAAGGTTCCAGCTTTTTACCTTGAATGAGCTGAGAATGAAGTAAAACTTCTAGATCTCCTTGCTTCTACTTGAACTCCCAAGCTTCCTTCTTCTTCTCCAACTTCAAACACACACAAAAAGGGCACCACAAGCTCAAGAACACTCAATAATGGTTAGGGTTTCGAGTTAGGGTTTTCTGGAAGTGAGAGGGACGATGGAGGCTGGTTTGGGACGAGTTAAGTTGTTTAAATAGAGTACAAACCCTAAATATTAGGGTTTTGTCCAGACAGCTCCTACTCGTCGAGTCGGTCTCCCGACTCGTCGAGTAGGTCACTTAAACCCTTGATCAAAGTCGAGTCTACTCGACGAGTTGGGCCTCCAACTCGCCGAGTCCCAGAGTAAATTGGAACATTACATAAGTTTAAATACGTACCAGGAACCAGGTGTTACAGAGCAGCAGGTGGGATATATTTGATCTTAGCTTGTCAGTTCAACATCCGAGAGGTGAGTCTTCTCACCATACCAATGGGTCTACGACACCAAGGCCGACCCATTTTATGATATGTAGTACACTAGCTGTAGCAGAGATATGTGGTGTGATAGTTACCTATATGCTAAGTGGTATGCTAGTGTTTATATGATATTTGCATGGAAGACCCCGGGGGGAGCCCGTGCAGTTGGATATGAGACCATGTAGGGGAGCCCATGGCACATTGGCGTAAGACCCTGGAGGGAGTCCACGACATCCTTATATGTTTATGTATGAGTTATGCAGTATGATAGATACTTCTATGATATATGATATGCTAGTTGATTATTATGCTATTGCATGGAAGACCCCGGGGAGAGCCTGTGGCAGTTGGATGTAAGACCATGTGGGGGAGCCCATGGCATTCCTAGGTAAAGACCATGGAGGAGCCCATGGCATGAACGTATAAGACCCTGGGAGGAGCCCACGACATCCTTATATGTTAATATGCATGGCTTATGTGATATATGTAGCTTTTTTAGCTAATATGATATGTGTTATGAGGATTGTGTGTGGGGTATGCTCTGGGGGACTCATTAAGCATTAGCTTACAGTTTGTGGATATGAATTTGAAAACAATTGTATTGAGATTTCATGGTTTATAGAAAAGTGTTTTGACTATTTAAAAATGAAAATTTTCTTTTGAAAAATTGGGTTGTTACATTTCATTAACAAAATATTATCTGACTTAACCGAATCCCTATCTAGAGTAATATTATGTAGTTGTAGGTCTAGACTATCTATTCGACTCTTCTTAGACTCCAAGTGTTTTTAAGTATCTATCAACAAAGTTTTTGATCGCTCAGCTTCGCTACTAACATAAATTAGCATGTCATTAACATAAGAGAGAGTATCATCAAAATAAGATAAAACATTAAGATAAGAACTTGAAGGACTGTTAAAAGATTCAAGAAAAGAACGTACCTTAGATGTCATAGGAGACTTGTCTGCTCCTGTTGACACGATACATTTCCCAGTTATGTTTTCCTCTTCTGAACTGCCCTCTTCGAAACGTGCATACAGCGCACCATGGGTGGGGTTTCTCATCTCATCATAGTCGAAACCAGATGACCATATATGGTAGGTTCCATCCCCTTCAACTCCTCCTTTCGCGACCAGTGACAATCCTTTAGTCTTCACTCTCACCTCTTCCAACCTTTCGACATAGTACGCCTCGTCTTTAACTCTCTCCTTCTACTCATCTTTCTTTCATAGCATGCAATCTACTGCAAGATGATTTGTACCATTACAGTAATTACAGTCGAACCCTAAATCTCCCTTCAGCTTCTCCTCAGCCTTCTCAACAACACTCTTGTTTTCTTTATTCTCTTCCTTCGACTCCACTCGCGTTCCTTTCCCAGATGAAGTGTTACGCTTAAATTCATTTTCGCCTTTGTATTTCGGATTGAAAGGCTTCTTAAAGAACCTTTTCACTTTATTGTTGGAATAGTAAGCCACAGCCTCATCCTCCGAATTCATCAAGAATCCTTCATTTTCAGAACCAACTTGCTCAACAACCTCGATCTCAGAGTCCTTTGCTGACACCTTCGACATCAAGGCCAGTAGACCTCCCAGACTCATCTTCCATTCTTCAGCAATCTCATTGATTTCGCTCTCATGAGCATTGAGCACATTATACATGTCTCCCAATGAATAGCTATCGAAGCTTTGCTGAGTTTTTATCATCAAGATGATATTCCTCCACTCTTTTCGCAATCCCATCAGAAATGTGAGATTGTATTTAAGAGTTGAGCGTGTAACTCCATAACGGTTGCACTTGAATATCAACTCATTCAAGTGATCGTAGTAGAGTTTGATGGTTTCACTTTCCTTTTGCTTGAATTCTCCAAGTTCCAGTAAACACTGCTTCACTGAGCCATTCTTCGTCTTTTCACTTCCTTGATACTTTTCCTTCAAAGTATCCCAAATATCTTTAGCAGTCTTGCAACCTCTAACAAAATTGTAAACAACTGGTGGAAGAGCACCACGAAGTTCACGAAGACACTTCTTATCATTTGCTTCATACTTGTCCTTTTGAGATGCCATACCAGAAGTTGAATCTGCATTCTTGACTTGATCAAACATATTTGGACGGTAGTTCCCACGAGTAACACATCTACATAGATCCTCATCGATCCCATTGAGGTAATCCTCCATGTGATCTGCCCATTGCTCGTAGTACTCTGGAATAAGAATTGGAATCTTAGTAGAAGATCCAAGCAGATAATAAAAGCTAGACATTGTGTTCATATTGAAATTCGCCATTTGGACAAAAGTGGCGATAAGATTCAGAAAAATAGATTTAGCGGATGAATCTATCATAAATTGTTCAGAAAACACTCGATCTATCAAACGATTGCAGAATCGAAACAAATCAATCAATAAGAACATGTTTTCTTAATCAAAAGTGCAGAAATCTTTTGAATCAGAAAGAGTAATTCAAAAACTTTTGAAAAAGTCGAGAAAACCATCAATGACTGAATGTATCCTGCTCTGATACCAAATGTAGTGAGTTTGAATCGAGTATTAAGAACGAAATCAAGAACAAAAAACGCTAAGAACACAGATGTAAATAAATTATGTTTGGTTCGTTGATTGCATCTGAACAAGTACACAAGAACACAACAGAGTAAAAGCTCAAAAGCTAAAAAGCTTCTCTTGACTCCTACACTTACCCTATTTATAGGGTGATATAGACGCATACAAAAAATACGTAAGGACTAGACATTTAAGCTTCGACCTCTAAAACTGCCTTACATAATACATACATTCGAAGTACTTGACTTCGACATCGACACAACCCAGACCTAAACGTACTTCGACACCTCACTACATATTTCAAACCTTACAAACACTTAATGCTTACAACCAGACGTCCAAACTTCAGATCCAAGACTTGGGGAACGTCTTAATCCATAAAGTCATTAACTTGGAACCTTTGCACGACTCAAATGAACTCAAACCCTAGATTTAGCATTCTACTTTCACCAAATGGACATAAACACATGCATGGTTGATCCACAACCACCAAGATGCTAACTTTATAGACTAAGGACCTCAAAAACATAAAGAGAAGCAAATCCTAACTTCTGGAGTGGAAGAATTCCCACTATATCTCATTCATGGGACCAAAAGTGACCAATATTCCATACAAACTAGATCTAAGCATACCATGAGCAAGTTCCAAGCTTTATACCTCAATGAAGCTGAAAATGGTGAGTAGAATCTAGATCTACAAACTTTCCCTTGATCAAAGCTCCTTCTTCAAAACTCTTCTTCCTCAAAGCTCACCAACACACACTAAAACACTCACAAAGAGGGTATATTCAAAACTTGTACTTATATTATGAAATGAAAACCAGAATATATTTTTATCTTTAACTCAAAACCACATACTTATATTTTTAAAATAAAATAGCAACATACTATTATTTCTATAACAACGTATTCTTTTATAATAACACATCATGTTTTTTTCATAAAAATAAATATATTTGTATAAGATAAATAAAGATAAATCTTAAAAATTACATCACATAAAAATTAAAAAGTAATAAAATGATGTTTTTACGCTTCAAATATTTTTAGATAAAAAATAGAAAACGAAAATATTTAGTTATGTATTGTAATTTAAATATTTAGATAAAATCTAGACAACAAAAATTATTTATATATTTAAAAAATATATAATAACAAAGTTGTGAAAAAAGAGGGCCGGAAATGTAAAAACAAAAACAGTGAAAGACTAAAATTGTAATATTTCGAATGGTCTATGTGTAAAATTTTACAAATGGTCTTTAAGCAAGTTTCACAAAATGACAAAAATAGTCCTTATCTAAAATTCTTTCAACTTAACAGATATATCTAACGGACATCCACGGTAAGGACCATTTATGTGCAAGGTTTACTCCATAAGGACCATCTTAGGGAAAAAAGTTTTGTAAGGACCATTTTAGGGAAAAAATGTAAAGTTAAAGGACCATTCGTGTAATTTACTCAAATATGTAATTATATAATATACTAATTTTGAACTCCTTGGTGAACAGGACTTTGCAGTCATTGGCTGAAATTTCTTTTTTTTTGTTTGGTGGGTTTTTTTTAATTATTTCCCCTTTTCCTTTTGATACGTGTTATATACAAGATTGTTACGTGTTATGTTGTCCTCCCACCTCCCACTGCATCCAATTACAAATCGACAACAAATTTACACCGCCTCAATTCTTTACCTACTTCCTTCACCGCCTTCATTTTGCTTCCCGCTTCCGTCTCTAACACCAGACACAAATCCAGTTTCTTCCTCACTTATCTCCACCGCTTCACCTTCAATCAGAAACAATCGTCACCCTCCAACTCCATTGCTCACTGATGCTTATCGATTGTCAGCTTCAACAGACCACCATCGATTTCTCCACTTTAGTTCGAGAGGGACTACTCTTGGTCGTTCGACGACGTTGGTTGTCGGTGGCGCTGGCTGGAGGCGTTGTGGTCTTCAGGTGATTTTCTTCTTATTCTTCTTTTTTTCTCCCTCTCTGCTCTGATTCTGTAACATTGGTTTGATTCTTCAAAAGAATCAAGATTCCCGTTCGATTCTGTAAGCTATACACCCAGAAAAAGTCCCCGTTCCCTCGATTACCGTTTTCTCAAAATTAGTGCTTTCATTTTTTTAGTAGTCGTTTGTTTCTTGACCAACACTCTCATTTTGATTACAAATCTACTCTCTCTCATCTGTGATATCATTAAAATGTGATGTGGTTTTTTTTCGGTGATAAAAAAGATGGAAGGAGATGAAGGTTTGAGAAGTGTGGAGTGTTAAGAGGCTAATTGATTATTGAAAGATCAGATTCCAAGGCCACTAACGATGAATCTAAACAAATTGACAAAAAGGTTTGCGTTTTTCATACTCATTGTATATTTGCAGAATTGATGATTTGTTTTACACACCATATGCTTTTCACTATTGACACTGTGTGTGTTTGTGTGTATTTTCCCAACTACAGGCTTGAAGAAGAACTTAAGAACCCTATTCGTCTATAATTAGAAGAACCTCCATTATCAAGAGATGTTTTGTGTATGTAAATCCCAAATTTGAAGTGTTGATATTCGAATATCTTGCTTTTTCCTATCATGTTGCTCTGTTCTCATTTTTTTCATGACCTACAAGATGAAATCTTTCTCAGATTGATTTTAACTTGAATGTTAAATCTGATTTTCTTCTTCATCACCGCTATTTACAACTACACCTTCACTAAGTCGGTTGACTGAGTTACAAAAGGAAGATGAGCAGACACTGTTCATAGATTCATCAGCAAATAAGACCATTTTTTCCTGAAGCTACATTTGATGCAAGTTCTTTTTAGTACGTTCATTAATTTATATTTAGATTTTGCTTGACATTTTTAAATTTTATATAAGCTCATGTATCACTATAACATGATTTTGGTTTGGATACAAGAACAATAAAAGCGCTAGAAGAAAGTAAAATAATCCTCTTTGTTAAAATCAAAGGAATTTTATATTGTTTTAAGTTTAAAGGTTTTTATTTCTCAGATTGTCAATTGGAAGACGTTTTGAGTTGTTGTGGTTGAAGCTGCCGCAACCCCTTAACACTATGTTGTAAGCGCTCCATAGCATATTTTTACAAGGCAATGCTTATTTTTTGTTAATTACAATTTCATAACTTAAAAACTTGCCAAAAATTATGCTATTTAACATGTCTGGTGAACCATTGTCTGATGGTCACTTTATCTTTTTTTTTTTTAAATCCTTTAGTCTTAACATCTGTTTGATTGTTATGCAATCTTTTATTTTTAACCTAATTGTCAACTACAACCCTCTGGTAAATAAAAATCGAAAGTACAATGTTGTAATAAAAACAGTTGAAGTTAGCATGCTGTAATACACAAAGAAATGAAAGTATGTTGCTTTTCCGTGACTTGAACTAAACCATATATAGTTCATTAGGTTAAGAGGGTATATAGGTCATTTTGCCATTTTCATAATTGCAGATAGAGGACCAACACCTAAAGCCTTTCTTAATGGTAGTCAAAGAGGATAAAAACCCTGGACATGATGCTGATGAGGATAAGGTAATTGTCAACAAAGATGGGCTAATTGCCCAACTAAAAGAGAACCAAATTTATTTGTTTTTGTGTATAAATTTAAACTTCATTTGTCACTTTGTATATGTACCTTTGATGTTTACAATAACGATACACCATTTGTTAGTATAAGATTTCATTAGAGCTCTAATATTTAGCCAAATTCATTGATGTTCTATAAATGTTACTTTTAATATCCATGATTCTTGAATCTTGAAAATGCCCCCACAATCCTTTTTATAAATACTTAATCAATGACATGTTCTACAATCGAATACTTTCTAACCCCCGCAAGGCGGGGACCTTCCCTAGTTGGTAATAAAGTCAAAAGTTATGGTTGTTAAAGTGTTGTTTGTTTTTTGTCTGCATATCTTTTTTGCCTCTTCTGTCTGCGTCGTGTATACCACGCACAAACATTATGTTTTGCGGGCTGTTTGTTTTTTTGAAGACTGAAGACCTAAAAAGGTTTGTGCGTCCTTTTCTTGGCGCATATGTGAACCACAGTTTTCAAACATTTTCATACATCTTCTAGTCTAAAAAACACATATATTTTTGTTTTTTGTTTTCTTTTAAACTTATATTTATTCCAACTTTATTTATGATAAATAATCTAGAAAAAAAAGTTACAATACTTAAAGAAAAAAAGGTTCGACAACACAATCATGTCCTTTGTGACAAATTTATAAATAAATATGTAATTACAATAATAGTTAGTAGAGCTGTTTATATAGATATGAAAAAAAAATCCTAATATTGTTTTATATTTTTTATGTCAAATTTTATAAAACATTATTTAATGCATTCATTTTTTGGAAAAAATATTTATGGTTAGTTTTTAATTGATTTAATTGAAAAAATAAAATGAAAACTTTGAAAATTTTCATTTAAAATCAAAGTTTATTTCCATTAATGTTATGTGTTAAATTCTTTTATCCCTAATTGCAATGTTTAGGTATAACTTTACGACCAAAGTTTGTTGGTTTTTATCAAATATATACAATAATTTTTACCATTTTATTTTCACTTTTTATACAATAATGCATAAAAGTTAATCTATATTTGTTAATTATCTATAATAAAGTCATAAAGTTATTAAAAAACTCTTTTTAAGTTTTTGTTTTTTAAAAATCAATTTAATTAGATTTTAGTTTATTCTAACACACTACAAATATTAAAAAACAAACAATCTTATTATTTTCAGAATGTAAACGTTTGATCCACCTTTTTTACTGTAGGGGTTTGCAGATATGGTCCGCAGACTGCAGACATTTTGCCTCAGAAAAAATAAAAAACACCTATTAGAGTTGACACAAATCGACCTAACTCACCAACCCAAAATTAGTATGTTGGGTTGACGTTTTCAACCGATTTAGGATAAAAGGGATAACTCGCCTAACCCATTTACTTAAATAGGTTGTCAACCCGTTTTCAGCCCACCAACCCATTTAACTTTAATTTATATTTGATTTAATAATTATTTAAATATTATAATGTATTAATCTAAGTACTAATTTATAAATTACAATGTTGTATTATTATTTATGTTTTAAAAAATGCAATACTAATTCCTATCTTTTTTCTTTACGCCGACAACACTAATCACTCTTCAAAATCTTTTTGAAATTACATATCTTTAATGTTATTTGAACAATTTTTTTGTATTTGTGAATTGGGATTCTGCCCTTTTATTATATTTTGAAAGTTTATTTAAGTTTTGAACTAATTTAAGTGATATAATCTTTAGTTAATTTATTTAATTTTTTATTTTAAATGAATTAACTCAAATTTAACATATTTATTTAATAGATTGGGTTGAGAATTACATAAATGGGTCAACCCGGTGACAACCCATTTATTTGAAATGTTGGGTTGGGTTGAAAATATTTATCCATTTAAATAAAAATGTTGGGTTAGGTTGAAATCTTCAACCCAATTAATAAATAGGTTGAACTCGAATCCAACCCATGTCGACTCATTGCCAGCTCTATCACCTAAGTATGTTTGTGGCAAAGTTATAAAAACAAGAAAGTAGAGGGTAAGAAACGAAACAAAAGAAAGAAAGGCTGTGGGTACCCAAAAGAATATTCCTGTAAGAAGGGCATTTTCGGCACAACAAATTCAAAAGTCATTCACTAGCATCCAATGTTACCTGAACTCACATCCGTTGGATCAAACGATCATCGTGAAATCGGACAGCGGAGAATGAAAGTTTGACTAGTGTACAGAATGAGGTAAGGAATGAATGATTGGCTTTTTCAGGTTTACACCTTTGACCAGAGGGAGAGAGATTGCGTCTAGAGGGAGAGAGAGAGAGAGGGAGAAACAGAGAGATTTAGAGAGAGAAACTTGAAGAAGAAGGTGGGGGAGGGTTGCGTGTGGTGTCGCGAATTCCTCCTCCACGGCGGTGGCGGTGAAAGAGTGGTTGAAGTCTGGGAGATTTTAGAGGAAGTGATTTCTAGAGAGAGAAAGCGTGGAGTAGGGAATTAGGGTTATGATTTACGAAACATAATGAATGTGATGCGTCGTCTGAAGAGTATAGCTTCTGGTCGCTCGTCCGTTTCAGATCCTGTGAGTTTCTATCGGTTATATTTGATAGATAGTTGATGATTTAGGAAACATACGAGAAGTGTTGATTTATTTTTCAGCTAATGAACGAGGAGTACTTGTTTCTTCATGAGGTTTATTGACATTTATATGATAATACTTGAATTTTCATGGTATTGGAATGGATTTACTTCGATTTGTTTGAAATGCTGTGTGATCTCTATTACTATTTGCTGTGTTGCTTTTATTCATGACGAGAGATCAAAAATTCATGCGCTTAGGAATCATCGAAATGCAGTTGTTTTTTTTTTCCCTGTAAAGTCTACTGTTCAACGGAAAACTTGTCATTGCTTTTAGAAAATCGACATAAAATATTTTTATTGCTTATAGTATCCGAGTTTGCAACTATGCATCTGATTTTGAACTTGATGCTTTTGCAGGGAGGTGATTCTAGCATTAAAAGGGTAAAAGTTGAGCAAGAAGTAGAATCAGATGTTATTGATGAACCACAATCAGTAGAAAAGAGTACAGAGGGTGTAGAGCAACCAATGGATGCTACATCTACAGATATGGCTGCAAGTACATCCAACACATCTTCTGTTCCAAAACCTGAAAAATCTGACTATGACGAGCTTCCAAAAGAAATGCACGAAATGAAAATCAAGGAAGATAAATCCGAAGACAAGGTAAAATCCAAAATTGAATTCATATGTTACTTGTAGTTAATCAAACTAGTAATATGCTAATGCTTATGATGGTTACTTGTAAAGCAGGAAATTGAAGCTACTGTTGTCAATGGAAATGGAACTGAAAAGGGTCAAGTAATAGTGACTACTGTTGGTGGTCGAAATGGACAACCAAAACAGGTGATAATTCTTTAGTTAACTACCTTACTTTTTTAATTCTTATACAATGCCAAAACATGTCAGTTTGAAAGGCCAAAGTGCAGGAAATAGCAATTTCTTACCAGTATGGGCAAAATACCGTATTTGTTAACTATAATACCAACGTATTTTATACTGAATATAACAATATGTAACTTGAAACTTGTTAAATGTACTTAAAAATTTACCCATAATTGCAAAATACTTATATTTTTTACACATAATAGCAACATACGTACAACACGTACCTGCGTTTATATTACCAATAATAGCAATATGTAACATACAACTTCTATGCATTTTCCAAGCTTCTGGTTATATATAGTAAATATGTTACTATTATGGGTAAACAATATAAGAATCTTCCTATTTGAGACCTTATGTGTAACAGCAACACTTATTATTGAATCTTTTTTGGTGTAGACTTTGTCTTACATGGCTGAGCGTGTGGTTGGCACTGGTTCCTTTGGAGTTGTTTTTGAGGTATTTTGATATGAACTCAATTTTTTATCAAAACAGAAAGCATGAATCTTTAAATCCAAAGATAAATGCTAACAATTTAGTAAACCTTTCTTTCTATTTCAGGCCAAATGCCTTGAAACCGGAGAGTCTGTTGCTATAAAGAAGGTGCTGCAGGATAAAAGATACAAAAACAGAGAACTTCAAATTATGCGATTACTTGATCATCCAAATGTTGTTCCTTTGAAAAATTGTTTTTATTCAACAACCGAAAAGAACGAAGTGTACCTCAATGTAGTTTTGGAATATGTCCCTGAAACAGTGTATCGTGTGTCAAGACATTACAGCAGGATGACACATCAGATACCTCTTATATACGTACAATTGTACACGTATCAAGTAAGATTCTTACATATTCTTGATTTGGCATTTGGGCTTTAATTAATTATCTGATTTGACATTTTTCTTGATTCAGATTTGTCGGGCACTTAATTATATACACTGTGTGATTGGTGTATGTCATCGTGATATTAAGCCGCAAAATCTATTGGTAAGATCTTCTAACATATTTGGCATATTCATTTATTACATGAGCTATTTTTAGTTATGAGGATAAGGACATTTACGTCTTTTGCATAAAAAAAGTTAGAATTCTTTGTTACATATAAAACTTATAAGACCTATTTTGTTAATTTTATTTGTTGTTTTGTCGTAAAAAATTGTACACATACTATTTATTTATTCTAATTTAATTTCTAATATCTTTATTTATATAAAAAATAAGTAGATCTAAATTTAAATATACTATTTAGCGGACAAATTTAATTTCAATTATAATGATTGTTGACTTTTATTAAAAAAAAATCAGGACCCATAAATAAGCTAAGTGAAAATGCTTTACTATAGTGAAGATATCTTGAGGTTTTTGGCTTGTTTAGTTGGTGCTGACGTGGCACAAAAGCTTTCCTATTGTGGATGCTCTAAAAATCGGAGGCATTGATTTTATAGCTATTTCTGAAATCGATACAATAATTTGAAATCTTGATTTGCAGGTGAATCCACATACTCATCAACTTAAGTTATGTGATTTCGGGAGTGCAAAGATGTTGGTAATGACACTTAAATCCCTATCTTTTTCCTAATTAGAAGGTTCAATTAACTAACACAAAGTCAAATTTTGAGTTTTTATTTATTTTACTTTAATTGCAGGTGCCTGGTGAACCAAATATTTCTTATATCTGTTCAAGATACTATCGGGCTCCTGAATTAATCTTTGGAGCAACAGAATACACAAATGCAATTGACATGTGGTCTGTTGGTTGTGTTTTGGCCGAGTTACTACTAGGGCATGTATGTAATTTAGTTGTTTTAGATTAAATTACACAAATGGTCCCTGTGCTATCTAATTTTTACAATGTTTAGTCCAGAATTGGAACCTTTTTCGGTTTTGGTCCTTATTTCAAGGTCTTGTCGATTTTGGTCCCTGGGTCATTCTGGGTTTGGGCTTTTGGCTCTCATTTCAAGGTTTTATGTTGATTTTTTGGTCCTTATTTCAAGGTTACAGGGACCAAAAGCGATGTGAAGCCATGAAATAAGGATCAAATTTGAAAACCATTTTGGTTTTGAACTAAACACGGTAAAAACTAGAAAGCATGGGGACCATTTTGTGTTTGTTCTTTGTTTTATTCTGTTTTTATATGTAACTTAGTTTTAAATTAAATTACAAAATGGACACTTTGCTTTCTAACATTTACTATGTTTGGTGTTTAGTCCACAATTGAAATCTTTTTAAAATTTGGTTCCTGTTTCAAGGTTTCATATCGATTTTGAGGTTCTATGGTCCAAAATCGGCGTGAAGCTTTGAATTAAGGACCAAAATTGAAAAAAGTTTTGATTTTGGACAAAATATGGTAAAAAATCAGAAAGCAGAGGGACCATTTTGTATATCGCTCTTTAGTTTTATTTTGGTTTCGTATGTAAATTAGTTGTAGAGTAAATTACAAAACTGGTCCTTGCGTTTTCTAACTTTTACGGTGTTTAGTCCATAATCAAAACCTTTTTCTTTAGCTCCTTATTTTATGGTTCCAATATATGTTTTGGTTCATATTTTTAGGAATCAGTAACCATAATTGATGTGATCATGTGAAACCTTGAAATAAGGACTAAAGTTGAGAAAGTTTTGATTCTGGAACTAAACACAGTAAAAATGAGAAATCATATCGACCATTTTTGTAATTACTTTTAGAATCATTTTAACTTTGTGTTCCTTTTTTCTGTGTGTGCTCTTGTGGCTTAGAATTTTTTAAAGTTGCAATCTTTTAAAAAGCTTTTGCTGATCTTTATGAGTTATGGACATTTACAGCCTCTTTTTCCTGGTGAAAGTGGTGTAGATCAGCTGGTAGAGATTATCAAGGTATGCTCTGCTCTTTTATGTATTTTCATTTTTGTAAGTGGTAAAAAATAAAAATTATATTATGATGTTCTTTTTTAACATTTATATTTTAATTTAGATTTTGGGAACACCAACGAGAGAGGAGATCAAGTGTATGAATCCTCATTACACAGAATTCAAGTTTCCACAGATTAAAGCTCATCCATGGCATAAGGTATTCTTTCTAATATAAAAATAATAATATGCATAGATTGATTTTAAGCAATAAAAATGGCTATAAATTACAACACCATTACTTTAACCAATATTTTTTGTTTCTTAAAAATATACCAATTAGAATTTAGAAAAGGGTATGAAATTATTATTGCTATAGATCCTTAACAGAATGCTATAATTGGGGAGATTACTTTGACATTTTATCTAATAGTATAGTGATAAATAGAAGAAATAGCAATGTACTTTCACGTTATAGCATCCTACTATCATTTTACAACTTTATATTTTTATTTGATTTAATAGTATAGCATCCTATTTCATTTCTTTCTGTTACAACATTGTATTCTCATATGATATTATAGTATAGGGCTAAATTGTGTATTATATAGCATCCTACTTTCATTTCCTTCTATTATTACAGCATTATATTTTCGTTTGATTTTTATAGTATAGAGCTAAAGGATTAAATAACATTTATTTGTGGGTCATAGCATATCCTACTATAATTTCTTTCCATTACAGCATTATATATATGTTCATTTGATTTTCAATTATTTGTGTATTTCTTATATTTCTTTCTATTACAACATTTTATTCTCTCCAGATATTTCACAAGCGAATGCCACCCGAAGCAGTTGACCTTGTCTCACGCCTACTCCAATACTCACCAAAACTTCGATGTAGCGCTGTAAGTAAATATTATTATTTTCCTATTTCTTTAAATAACAAGCAACAAATCCTTTGAGCTTTATTTTTCTTCATTTTAGATGTTTTATAAAACGGATTAAATTATAGGGATATTGATGATTTTTTTTTTTTTTTTTTCAGTTGGAGGCATGTGCCCACCCGTTTTTTGATGATTTGAGAGAGCAAAGCACAACCTTACCAAATGGCAAACCCCTTCCTCCACTATTCAATTTTACACCACAAGGTACAAAAGATACATACATCGTCATCGTCATTGTCATCGTCATCGTCATCTCTATCTCTATATTGTTATATTAAAGGCCAAATGCAAGAAATAGCAACCTACTTTCATTTATTTGTCTACTATATGCTATAGCATCCCTTTTTCTTTTCTTTGTAGGCAATGTACTTTATTTCATTTCCATAATAGCAATCTACTTACATTTCTTTACTGATAATAGTACTTTATTTTTTCCCTATAATAGCAACATACAATGCTAGTATGTTGCTATTACGGGTAAAAATGTAATTATATTGCTATTATGGGTAAAAATAAAAGTACATTGACTATATCGGTAAAAAGAAAAAATGTAAAGTACATTGCTATTTCATGCAATATGCCTTGAAAACCAGGGTTTAAGTCATTTTTGGTCACTTAACTTTTGGCTTTGTGCTCATTTGGTCACTTCACTCGTTTTAAAATTTAAAAGGTAACCAAACGTTTGGCTTTGTGCTCATTTAGTCACCTAACTTTTAAAATTGTGCTCATTTTTATAACTTTATTTTAAAAGTTTAGTGAGCACAAAGCCATCAAACGATACATAAATGGCTAATAGAGTGAAGTGACCAAATGAGCACAAAGCCAAAAGTTAAGTGACCTAAACTCTAAAAACTATAATGTTATATAATAAACAAAAGTATGTTGCTATTTCTTGTATTTAGTAGTCTTTTGTTTTCCTTGAAGAAAGTTACTAACACTCTCAAGCTTTTACAGAGCTTGCTCATGCATCTCCGGAATTGCTTCAACGCCTTGTACCCAAAACCAAACACGTGGAAAAATGAAGAAAGTTTTCAAAATGCAAGGACTCATTACAAAAATGGAGGGTTGCTTGGTTGGTTACTGAAATATGTTAATGTATTTGGTAGTTATTATACGTATAGGTATGGTTTTTTAATACAATGTAGCTAAGTTTTCCGTTTGGGCTTATACACTTTTAATGTATACTCTTTTGCTCGGGTTTTTTTTTCAATCTTTTTTGCCTATGAAATGAGTCTTTTTGTCACATTTCATTTTTTTAATATATGTTTACTTTGTTGTTAATGGCAAAAAAAAAAAAAAAACAAGTAGCATTCTGAGTTGTTCCATGGATAACCATGAATTTTGCACGAACTTGGTCCTCTCAACTTGCAACAAGATAGCTTAAGCTTAGTACGTGTAGTCAAATATGGATGGGAAGATCGCAATATATAATTAATGCATTCTTAGGATCTTGTTTCATCTCATGTACATGACATCATCATTTCATCAAACGATACATAAATGGATAATAGAGTGCATCTCACTTGTGCGACACATGCATTATATCTAATTTCTAAAGGTAGCTAGCCCCCAAGCTTCAGCTTTAGGAAACAAAAATCTTCTAAAATGTCGATATTTTTCAACATATGACCTCTATTCACACATACCCTGTATTAATGACCCAACGTCTACAATCTTATGCGTCTCAATGTTTTAACTTAATATACAACAATGACAATGTGTCCAAAACATCGTTGCAACTTTATTTTGCAACATAAACTGCATTGTGTGATTCAACTTTTCAACCTTAAAGCTCATATACTTCTTCAACTTTAGAACTTCATGCAACATTACAATTTTAGAAATCAACACTTCGTTTCAACTTTAACACAATATTTCAACTATAAAATAACATTTCAACTTAATTCAACACAACGCTTCAACTTCTACACAACAAATTTTAACTTTTTAAACAAACACAACATTTCACCTTTAAATCGACGCAACACTTCAACTTTGAAAATCAATGTAGCTTTTTTAACTTTAAATCAACAAAATGTTTCAACTTTGAAAACCAATATACCGTTTCGACTTTTAACCACACACAATGTTCTAACTTTATAGTCATTGAAAATGAGTTTGTACGGTAAACCACTAAAATAACATAAAACTTGATATGTGTAAGTCATTTTAAAGTAGGTCATTTTCCCTGTCTACAAAGTCTTTTTCCCTGTCTTATAAATAATAAACCACTAAAGTAACATAAAATTTAAAGTTCTTCCATACATTTAAACTAGGAGAGCTCACCTAACCCTTGTAAACTTAAAAGCCTCCAAAAACACGTTTTCTTGCATGTATTTAAAGTAGAAGCCTTAAATGAAATGACACCGATTTCTCTTACATGCATTTACGCTATCTGTTATACCCATCACTAACCACTATAGTAGTGGACGTCACATCATCACCACACTTCCTACCACTAATCATGAGATACCTACCACTAAACACATCATTCCACCTCATTTTTTAATTAAATTTAAATAAAAAATACATAAAAATCATATAATTGTTTTTTAAAAAAATACTAATTTTCATTAATTTAAAATACCAAATTACATTAATTAAAATAAAAAAATAGAAAAAACATTAAAAATAAAAATACAACTTCAAACTACATTACTTCATTAACCTAGAATAAAAAAACATTACATTAACTTAAATAACCTAAATTAAAAAAAAAAAAACAAACATAAGTAAAAAAAACTAATCTTCATTCATGTTGAGTTGGTACAAATGATCCGCGACATCTTCTCGAAGATTCGAACACGTTTCGCTGTAATGAATTTCAACAACTCGTGATAAAAATTCATTCGTTCCGGGTACGAACTCTTCAAGCAGGATGACGACGTCGTCCGGATCATACATGCAAATCGCTCGATCTTGATCTTCAATGATCATATTATGCATTATAATACATGCTAGGACCATTCGTTTAGTTCTATCCTTATCACAAAGTCGTGTAGCTTATTTCACTACATGTCACGTCTACTTGAGGACTCCAAATGCCATCTCGATATCCTTCTTCGCTGATTCCTGTCTCTTTGTGAACAACTTCGCCTTTTCACTTCGAGGAACCGTATATGTCTTCATAAGTGTAGAATAATCCGGGTATATCCCATCACAAAGGTAGTAATCGTATTTGTACGAATGTTCGTTCACCGTGAACATCATATTAGGTGTTTTGCTGGTCCAAAGATCGTTAAAAGGTGGAGACTGGCCAAGGACGTCAATGTTGTTGTTAGACCTCGCGACTCCAAAAAAAGAATGTCATATCCATAAATCTTGAGATGCGACAGCTTCTAGGATTATACTTGGTTCACCTATATCTCCTCGAGTGAATTGACCACGCCATGCATTTGAACATTTTCCCAAGCCACATGCGTACAATCTAGACTGCCAAGCATACCCGGAAATCCATGCCTCTCTTCATGAGCCGAATATAATCTCTCAATATCACGTGGAGTTGGTTTACGCAAATATTCTTGATGAAAAACCTCATACACACATGTGCAAAACCAATATAATCAATTGCGGCCCTCTCGGATATTTTGAAGTATTCGTCAGATGCATCAAATGCTATACCGTATCCCAAATACCTAAGCGCAGCCGCACACTTTTGTATACTACTAATACCCATTCTTCCTCTAGCGTCGGGTTTTTGTTTGAAAAAAATGATAACGGGATTTTAAACCATTACTAATACGTAAAAATATCGCCTTATTTAGACGAAAACAGCGTTCGAATGCATCATCATTATAAAGACAATTATCGGCGAAGTAATCACGGACCAATAAGTTGTGTGCGGCTTGATGATCATGATTGCCGACCACCCTTGTACGAGCAACATTCGAAATTTCTTCATCGTGAATGTGTTGCACAACATTGAAGAAGTGTAAGATAAAGTAGGATTTGTAGTGGAGATCTGGATACCAACTTGGATCGTGAGAACACTTTTCGAACTGATATTTCTACCATATGCCTGGATTGCAAGAAATTCAGCCTAGGATAATCCAAAGTGGACACTTACATTTCTAGGCACAGAAATCGTAAGCCAAATTGCTATAAAGATTCTGTGAGAGTTTGAAGAAAACGAGAGCTAATTTTCGTGTGTCTCTTCCGAAAAGGAAGAGCCGTTTATATAATAAACGAGATTAGGGTTTCATTAGGGTTGGGCCGTCATGAGTTGCTTTGGAAGCAAGTCAGGGGTAATCCGGATTTTAATGAGGATTTAGGGTTACCAAAACTAACGAGTTTCGTTAGTTTTACCATAATCACCCTCAAGAATCTGAATTTTCCACTATGGATACCAGCGTGACCCTAGCCAGGGGCTCTGCCCCTTAGACCCCACTAAGGGCACTGCCCCTAGACCCCGGCAAAGGGGCGCCACCCCTTTGGAAACCCCGGACCCAGGGGCGCTGCCCCTGGACCCCGACTTGTCGTGGAACCAGTTTCTAATTCGATCTTATACATGTGTGCACTCTGCACAACCCCATACATATATTAGAGTACAAATTATGGAGCTCCTTGGCTCACATGTTATTTCCAGTTACATTAAATGACATGGTGACACTAAAGCCACCAACAAGAAGGTCGAGATGAATTCCCCGTCATCATCCGAGTCAAATTTTTTTAACAATTCCAAATCCTCCATGTGTTTTTTGGTTTATAGAATGAGAGTAAAATGTGATGAAATGTGATTAGATTTTATATAGGTATTGAGTTTTAAAAAAAACTTAACAATATGACCGTTGAACGGTCAGAAGAAAGGAAAATATTTTGATTGGTTGTTTGAATACGTCGTCTGGAACACAGAAGAGCACGACCACGATCGACCACGACCGACCAGGATGGTGTGCACGGCCGTGGTCGTGGTCCAACTCAACCACGATGGGCTTCGTTACACCCATATCGGATGGTCTTAAAGCAAGATAAGCCTCCTAATCCTCTTTTCTTCGGTGCATTTAAACCTTAAACCTTAGTAATTTGAAAAGCCCCGCCTAAAAGTTTATTTGAGTATTCATACAAACATCTTTTCTATATCTTAGGCAATAATAAGACATTGATCTTTCAATTGCTTTATAAACAACCAAGATTAGTAAGAGTATTCACAAACACAAACCACCGTATAAAAATTAGATTGAAAACAAACACTCCGCATACAAGAGAATGTCGTCTTCATCATTCTCTAGAAATACCAGTTTGTTCTCGAAATAAAGTAAGATTTTGGAAGGGATAAACAAAGATGGAAATATGTTTTGAACAAATGGGAAGATATAACTTCATTGATTAAATAGAAAAGAAGAATGACCGAACACCTTCATTTTTCCTTACTTCACCAAAAGGTGTGTGCACAACTCTACCCTAGTGACTCAATGGGTAGAGAAGTGTACAGGTTATTGATGTAAGGATGGATAACAAAATAGTACTCCTTGAGAAGCTAAATTATATATGAGCAAATGTTAGTATTTCAAGTTTTTGTTTTTAAAGTTTAAGAATATGTTTTCCGTGAGTATATGTTTGTAGTTTAACTTTATGTTATGTATATACATTTTGAAGTCTAAAAATATGTTTTAAGAATACATTTTCTTTTCCATACTTTTTAAGTATATGTATTATTTTCCGTTCATATATGTTCGTGTTTCATGCATGTTATGTGGGAAAGATTGAGGCCCCGTTTGATACACGTCTGACCGAGTCAAGTCAGACGTTTTTGGCTGACTCGGTCAACAAAATCTGTTTGATAATCCAACTTTGGCCATCTGACTCGGTAAGAAATGTCTGACCGAGAAAAGAAAGAAAGCAAGACTTTCCAATAATACCCTTGCCATTGGATAAAAATTCGAATCTCAACAAGTGAAATGGGAGGTTACAGGATTTGAACTCGGGTCTCCCCTATACAAACAATAGCGTTTACCACCAAACTAGAGGGTTTTTTGTGTTTTAACCTTTAAAATAGTATATTTAATATCTATTATGCTGGAAGTTTTTGTATTCATTATTATTAATATTATTTATATTATTATTATTATTATTATTATTATTATTATTATTATTAATATTAATATTAATATTAATATTAATATTATTATTATTATTATTATTATTATTATTATTATTATTATTATTACTACTACTACTACTATAAAGAGCACGAGGATAAAATGGTCATTTTGCATCAGTCAACACATTCAGTCAGATGTACAATCAAACAACATGGTTTCTTACTCAGTCAGAATTTATTACTCAGACAGACCTTTTCCAATCAGCACTTTCTCAGTCAGCAACTATCAAACGACCCATGAATCTTCAACAAAACAAAGTTTACAAAATTAAGCCAAGTATATTTAATATTTGTCATTTTATCCAAAAAATCAAAGTGCATGAGTTTCAATATGTTAATAAGAGAACTGCTTTAAAAATACAATGTTATATAGTGATGGTGTGACAGATAGAGAAAGACATAAAGAGAGATGTCAAAGTTATTAAAAACTCTTCAAGTCAAATTTAGTGGTATTTTTTTTTGAATAAAAATGAAACTTTTTTACCTTCTTAAGACAACCCTCATGCAATGTAATATCTGGGTCAATATTTTTATTTTTATTTTTTATAAAAGAACAGGCTTAACCTATTATGATATGTGACAATTGTGTTTTTTGAATAATTTTAAAAATTAGACAATATAACAGTCAAGAAAAAAAATATAATGATATTTATTGAAAAATATCTGAAACTTTGTGTCCCCTTATAGTCATTTTCTGTTATATAAATACAACATTTAAACTTAAAAATCAATGGGAAATTAAGTAATGTAACCATTATAAATGAGTGAGTATTTCCATCTCGTACTCCCACGGGGCCTCGTTTTATGTGTGTGTGTGATTTTCTTCCACTTCACATCGTACGACGATACAATAGTAAATTGGTGATATATTTTTGGACATGTCATACTTTTTTTTTTGTAATGTTGAATTTGTCGCATTTTATATTTGTAAGTTTGTTGGATTTGTCGTTTTATAATGTTGGATTTTTAATATTTTTAGTTGTTAAAAAAACTAGTTTTTAAGCTTTTAAAGTTATGAAAAATAGATTTTAGCAAAAAATATAACAATTTTTTTAGCAAAAAAGTAAATTTTAAACCTATAAAACGGGGGAACGGGATCAGGGGCTATGTAAACGGAGGATTCGGGAGCGAGGACAATAACTGATTTTGGAGGCGGGGGCATGGACAACTGTTTTCGCTCCCGTTTGGTCCGGTTGACATCCCACATATTTTATAAATAACTAGGTGTAAGACCCATGTATTAGATAAGTTAATTAAAAAAAAATTAAATATAAATGTTTAAATATTTAAGAACTTTGAATTTATAAAAAAGTTAAAAAAATAATGAATTATTAAAATTGATTTTTTTTATCTATTAAATTTAAATAAATAAATAAAATAAAATAATGAGCTGAAAATTTTAAAATAAAAAGATAAATGTATTAATGAAATTGATATTAATTTATTATTATAATTATTACATTAAAATATTATAAGAAAATTATTAAAATAGAAAATTCGACATTTGAAAACAAAATAACCATAAAATAATATTTAAAAAAATAAATAAATAATTTGTAGATTATTTTACCATACTAAATTTTAATTTTAGTTAATTTTTTAATGTGAAAAATTGGTATCGATTTCATCGCTATGATTCAGTAGTCAAAAGATGTACAACGTTTTAAGCATAATGTACATGTAATAAAATCACTATTCTGACTTTAGCAATTCTTTCTCTGGAAAAATTAATATTCCCAACATCTTCAACCTCGAGCACTTCATCATCTCATCACAATTCACAAGAACAATCCAACTGTACTCCACGCCCTTTGTATTCATGGCCATCCATTGCCATCATTAACAGTCAACTACAAAACCTCTACACAGTCGATTAGGGTTTTCCCCAAATCCGCCACTTTCCCCCAATCCGATCGATCCACGATGTCGACAACAATACCATCTAATTCCCCCTCTTCTTCATCCGAATCCAACACCACCAACATCGATGCAACTCCATTACTCTCCACAACCTCCGCCATTTCCGACCAAATCTTCCTTACTCGACAATTCGTCAGAGGCCCACCTTCCCTCCGTGGCGCCGCGAGGTTTCTCCGTCGTGCCAGCAGTCGGAGAATGCTCCGTGAACCGTCAATGCGAGTGAGGGAATCAGCCGCAGAGCAAATTGAGGAACGGCAGAGTGATTGGGCGTATTCTCGCCCAATTGTTATCTTAGACCTAATTTGGAACCTTGCGTTTGTTACTGTTTCAGTTGCGGTTTTGGTTATGAGTTTGAAGGAGTCTCCGGTGATGCCATTGAGGGTTTGGATTGTTGGGTATGCGTTGCAGTGTCTGCTCCATATGGTCTGTGTGTATGTTGAGTATAAACATCGGTACCAACAACGTTCGTTTGAAGCTAGTAATGGCAATTCCAGTTCTGCAACTTCTGGAAATGAAGGTCAGGAGAATGTTGATTTTGCTTCGAGTAGGTTGCAGAATGATGATGAGACTAGGTAAAATTGTTAATCATCTTGATTCTATTATTTGATTTGTTTTTAACAAGAACATGCCTTGTAACAAAAATTAAACACTATATTGAATCACAATACCAATGATAATTTAAACTAAATCCTTGAATCTGAAGACATAATTAGTAACAGAAAACATATAATTAATAAGAAACATTTATGATTTATCTGTGGCAGTGTTGCGAAGCATCTGGAGTCTGCTAATACAATGTTTTCATTTATTTGGTGGATTATTGGATTCTATTGGGTGTCAGCAGGTGGTCAAAGTCTGAGTTCTGAGTCACCTCAGTTATACTGGTTCGTTTTTACCTTTTTGCCCTTTAAAAAATTCCCAATTTTTACCTTTCTTCTGTTTATCTAATCTCTCTCTCTCTCTATATATATATGTTTTTTCAGGCTTTGTATAACGTTTTTGGCATTTGATGTGTTTTTTGTGGTTATTTGTGTTGCTGTGGCATGTCTTGTTGGCATTGCTGTTTGCTGCTGTTTACCTTGTATTATTGCAATTTTGTATGCCGTTGCTGATCAGGTAAGTTTTTTTATAAAAAGTTCTTTAAAAAAAAATATATGAGAAAATGAAAGGAAATAGTAAAAGGAAGGGCAAATTGAAAATTTATATAGAAAACTTTGTCAAACTTTAGTGGCTTTCATTGAAGAAACCTTAAATACAGTGGCATATTTGTAATTTTCCCTAAAGTTAGTTATGTTGAATTGTTAATAATTATACTAGGAGGGTGCAACTAAGGATGATATTGATCGTTTGCCTAAATACAAGTTCAAAAGAATTGGTAATTTTGAAAAACAAAATGAGGAAATTGAAGAAGCTTTTGGTGGATTGATGATTGAATGTGATACCGATTCACCCATTGAACATGTTCTACCTCGTGAAGATGCTGTAAGTTTTTTAATCTTCTCAAATTGTAAGAAATAGCAACACACTTTCATTGATTTGTTTGTTATAGCATCCTACTTTTCATTTTTTTTTTAATTTAAAAAATGAAAAATCTATCAAATTGTAGCATTGTCATGCAAATAGAATTCGGTAGATTTTTTAAATGTATAATCTCGTCATAAGAAAAAATTGGAAGTACAATGCTAGAATTGGGAATATACCTTTTGATTTCTTTCACTAAGTTAGACAAATTAAAAAATATTATATATTAGAATTTTGGTCCCTGAATAAAGCCGATTTTGTTCTTATTTGCAAATTTGGTCCTTATTTTGAGGTTTCTATGACGTTTTTGGTTACTGGTCCAAGTAAAATGAATATTTTTGGTCCCTGAATTTAGTTTATTTTTGCAGTTTTGGT